GCGAAATTACTGGGTTGTTTAATTCACATACTAATTACATGATGATTATAATACATGAATTATTTATGCAGAGTTTATTAATGATGGAATTGGTATGCAACGATTAATAATGAGAATATCGTTATACATGAGATACTTACTTTAGTATGATCTTTTTGTCTTTAAATATTCTTATTGCACATTTTATCCTATATAACTTAATGTATATACTATTTAATATACTATCAAAAAATTTATTAGTCAAGCGACCATTTTATGACGGGGTTAAATATTTCAAATTAGGGTTGTACAAAGAAAATCAATAGATCGTACCAAATCGATACTCCGAGTCAAACCGAAAAAATAGATAAATGTGGTTTTGTATTGGAAAAAAACCCGACCATAATTGGTTTGGTTTGGTTTTAACTAAAAAAAGTCAAACCGAAACCCAACCAACCCAACATTACATTTATAAAAAAAAATATTGTATACATATAAATATTTAGCATAATATAATTTATAAATATTTCTTAATTGTTTTTTACAATTTTATCTTTTAATATATTATTTCAAGCTTGGACTTAATATTCTTGAATGATCCAATAAGTTTTATAGCCCGTAAATATAGTAACTCAAATAAAATTCAAATCAATACTAATGCTAACAAAATAAATTTAATTCAATACTAGAAATGACAATAGTGTTGGATATCTATTTTTAGTTTTGCATTGGTTTATAATGAAATTGCATAACTTAGTTTATCTTTTTTCTTAGTGTTTAGTCATGTAATTAATAGTACTTATTAGATGTACTTATTTTAGCATGATTTATATAGTACTTTTAGATTATGTTCATTTTTATTATGGCTTATTAATTATCAATATTTATATTATGCGATTTTATTATCTTTGTTATTGAATATTTTAGTACAATACTATGACTTATCTCATATAATTGTGTTATTTTCTTGAAAATATATTATATAGTTATATCCTAATAGGACTGAAGAAATATTTGGAGTACAAATTACATATTTTGTGCTATGAAGACTTTACCGAAAAAAATCCGTAAAACCAAAAAACCCGAGAAAAAACGAGATTGAAAAATCCGACTTTGTTGGTTTGATTTGGTTTATAGATTTAAAACCCGTCACTATTTATTTGGTTTGATAATTAAAAAATATGAATCAACCCGACCTATATACACCCCTATTTCAAATTATCAAATAAACTATCCCAAAATTAGGAATACACATGCATTAAATGGTATTGTGACAACAACTTGGCACTGTGCAGAAATTTTAATACTCATTTATTGGAGGACCCAAAGCCGTTGTTTAGATAAAAATTGATATGAGCTCATGTCAGCTTCATGATTATATATTTACTGAATTAGTGTTTCCTCATAAACAATGGAGTTAACACAATTTATGATGGTGCCTTCAAAAAAAAATTAAAAATATATATATATATATATATGCAGAGGCGGATCCATGATTTGAAGGTTTCGGGTGCCATACTACTTTAAACACAGACGTATTATTATTTGTACGGTCAAAATAGGGTAAATATTTGGTTAATTTGATCCATTTTAGGCTTCGGTTCGGATTATTCTTCGTTTCAGTTTATATAAATAAATCGCTTGAAAAAAAAAATTACGATAATTTTGCACAAAGCATAAAACTTTCAAAACACTACTAATATCATAAATATAGATCTTTCATTTGCAATCCTCCTCGGCGAGGTTTCAAAATCTGAAGACGCGGTCAATAATGTCATCATTACTTATATTTGCAAATAGTCACTCTTTTTGGTGAAAGATCAAAATAACACTGCAAATTTAAAAGAAATATAATCCACATTCATCATTTTCAAAATCTAAACCTTTTTTTAATTATATTTTACTATTTAAACACATTTTTATTAATGTTTATGTAATATTTAAAATTTAGCACTTACTAAGACTAGTATTTAAAATAGCGAGAAAAAGTCAAGAATTAATTAAAAAACAGCCAACTAGGATTAATAAAGGATAGTAAAGAGGAATTCTTACAAAAAAAAAAAAAAAGTGTATTTGCACCAAGCCAAAAGAGCAAAATACAAAAACAATTGTGAAAACGAAACTGTATTTGAGGCAAGCCAAAAGAGCAAATTACAGGCTGTCATTTGGGAGGAATTCCTTGCCCCTAGCCAGTGGCACCTTGCGCCACTTTAGCATTCTGTGTGCCACCTTTAATATTTATACATAATCTACTATATAGAGATATAACCACAATCTCGACCAAAGTTTGCGGGTGGCGTATCTAGAGGCGGATCCTGGATTTAGAGGTTTCGGGTGCCAAATTTTTTTAACGTAGCCATATTACAATTTACATTGTCTAAATAGGGTATAAATTTAATCGATTTTGGTCAATTTGGGTTTCGGTTCGCATTATTCATCTTTGGAGTTAATATAAACAAATCGAACGAGCAAAAAAATTACATAATAATTATGATAACTTGGAAAAAAAACATAAAAATTCAAGTGAATTATGTATTTTGTACAAGAAAAAAAGCTCATTATCACTTTAGATACTTAAGACGAAAACTTATACTAATAAGCACTCTAAACATTAAGTAGGTTTACGGACATTTTTCAATTTATATTTTTTATGATAATTAACTCACTCGATATTATATACAATTGTCCTACTTTAGAGCACAACAAAATAAACTTTTATCATTGATTAAAACAATAACTTATTCAAGATTATTTTTTATTTTGGTTTCTGCAAATAGATTACAAGAGTTGTGGTCTTAGAGAAAACAATTAATTTTTCATTATCCATTGATAAATCACGGAGGAGTTAGAAAAGTGCAACAATGGAGATTTCTTTGAATAAATTTTTGAAAGAATTTTTATTTACATCTTCTGTTAAATGTTTAAAGGAAAAAAGGGAGAAAAGAAATTTCAAAAGAAATTAATAAGATCAAATAAAAAGAGCAATAAATAAATAAATAGGACCTACTAATAAATAAAAAAGAGCAATTAAGTAAAGAGAGAAGAAACAAAGGATCATGGATTCAAACCCCACCATTGGGGTGAAAATGATACTGCCTTGTCAGTGCCACCTTCCAACCCTTTTGTTAACGAGGGTGCCACTTAAATTATTTGTATATATTTCTTTTATATATACATGTATGTATAAATACTATTGCATAGTTTCGGCTAAAGCTTGCAGGCGGTGTACCACTTGTCTCTTACACGTAGATCCACCCCTGGACGTACCACCCCTCCCTACAACATAGATCCGCCCCTGTATATACATACGGAGGCATAATATCCTCAGTCCTAAGTTAACTCCTAAAGCCTGAAAATGCTAGGATTCTACTCTCACGTCACTGAGTTTGCGAATATCGTCACTTTGTTGAGATGATACGCTACGCACAAGAAGTTGTAAACAATATGCTCAAACATACGACATATCCTTTAAAAAGGTTTAGACTTTGGACTATTTAATTAACAGCCCATTACATGAACTTGAATCATTCAAAGAAAATCAAATTCAATGTTTTTCTTCTCTAGCTATCAGGTTGCAACAAGACGACTTCTAGTTTATCAGATTGTTAGTCGCTTTTTATCCCTGAAAATAACGAAATACAAATATAAAAATCCTAGCTGCCTCAGAATTCAAAGAGAAACGCAGTGAAGTTACCTAAAAGAAAATTCAACAAAAATCAGGAAAAGATCAAATATATGCTCGTTATCTCTTTTATGGCATCATGAATTGTTCGGTACAGTGGTGGGATATGGGATAACTAATTCCACTATTTTAGGGCTCGTTTGGTATGAGAGATAATGAATAATTAATTCCGAGATTAAATTTAAGAAAAGTTTATCCCTTTTTTGATTGGGAGAAAATTACGGTATAATTAATCGCGAGATTAATTATTCCGAAATTGTAGTATTTTTTATCCCCATGAAAATATGGAATAACTAATCCCGGGATAACTTCTTTCCAACCAAACGACCCCTTAGTGTAAAAGTTATCCGCAGGTTAACTAATACCCCAAACCAAACATAGGATAAAGTTAATTCCAAATTTTATTGCGGAATTATTTTCCTTTTCCTATGTACCAAACGACCCCTTAGTTTCTTAAATAGTGCCAAGTTTAGTATTTAGATATTCTGCCTAAAAACATACAAAGTTTGTTAAATAAATTTGACTCATCTCATTAATACTTTATGTCACCAAAAACACTTAAAGTATTTTGAAAAGCGCTTTTATTCAAAAGTATTTTTATAAAATAAGTAATTTGTGTTTGACCGATTCGTTTGAGTATTGTTTTTTTGCAAACTCATTGTGTTTGGTCAATCTTTTAAAAAAGCACTTTTAAGTATCAAATTACGAAAAATGACAGTAAAGGTTCAATTTACGATTAGTATTATTTAGAAAAAAAAAATTAAATATTTATTAGAAAAGAATTCAATTAAAATATAAAATGTAAGTAAAAATATAAATTAAAAATTCTAATTAATATAAAAATATAGTTATTCCAAAGTAATAATATTGAGTGCTTAGTATTACTTATTATTTACATGATAAATTAAATATGTCAAAATACATCATTCAATATAAATTTAAAATCTACTCTTAGGAATAGGAGAAAGAGAATAAAAATACAATTAAAATAAAAAAGAGAATAAATGTATAGCAGAAATAAAAAGAAAAAGGAAAAGGAAAAGAAAAGAAATTAAATTAATAAAAAATAATTTGAAAAATATAAATTTATTGTAAGATTAATTTTGTCTTGAATAAATTAACTTTCTGCTTTTATTTTTTGGAACAAACTAGAATTCGTAGCTTCTCCCTAGACCAGAAGCTTCTACGGATGCTCAGAAGGTACTTTTTTATTTTGGCCAAATAATTTAAATTTTTAAAAAAATATTTTTTTGACAAAAAAAAAAAAAAAGGAAATCTGCCAAAAATGACTTAATCCTTTAGCAGACAGTGAGTCAGTACCTGACTTTTTAAAACAATGACTTTCAAAGATCATTCTTCAAGTGTACTAAATAATTTATTTCACTACAATCATTCTTTCTTATGAAGGGAGTAATAAATAAATTACCAATCATTCTAAAATACACATAATTTATTGATCACTAATCAGGACTATAGTATGATTAATGATACACTACTCTACAAGCGAAAAGTTCTCAATTCTAAGCATCTTCCCTCCGAGCGTATCTGATGGTGTGCCGTCTCATCCACAGCTGATACATCACCATGTGAAAAGCATCGTGTGGCTGAGGTTCCGCGCTCCACACCATATGGTGAGTCGCCGCTACAGAGAATTCCCTCATGCGCTCATATCGATACTCAGGTACACCGCGCAGCACGGCCTTCAATCCCTCAGCCCCACGGCGGTTGCCGACCAACAGGGCCATTTCCGACCATCTCAAGACGTCCGTCAACGGAAAATCCTGAACTGAACGGTCGACAATTACCACCGGCACGCATCCCGCCGCCATTGCTTCTGCCATCCATGCCACGTCAGCGTCATAGAAGAACAAGCAAAACTTGCTACTCTTGACTCTTCCTACATGATGATCCGACGGCTCAGATTCGATGACAAATTCTGGGTCCAACCTCAACTCGTTCACCAAGTTTGACTCAGTCTTCCCGTCCCATTTCAAATAACACAGAAACGACAGAGCCTCATTCACCGGCGCGTGGGACAGTGCGAGTGAGGAAGGGTTCACAGGAGGCAAAGTGATGTCCTTGTGAGGGATAAAGTTACCGGAGATAGTGGGAAAAACGGAAATCTGAACTGAATTTTTCTTGAGCTCGAGAACATTCCTGTCAGAAGAGAAGTCAATTCCTGTAGGGGAGATGAAGAAGTGATCAGCTCCAAGCGTGCGGTTCCAGTAAGGATACTTGGTTCTGAGCTCGCGAACAAGACGCGCCAGAGAGCGCGTGGAAGTGTCAGGAGAGAAGGGTACGAAGAAGAGGTGAGCTTGGTTCGGGTCTTGCGTGAGAAATGGGCTGTTAACGAGGAAATTGTAGAAGATAGAAGCTGAGGGAGTAGAAAACGTGATGGGTTGAAGAGGGGTGTAAATGAAAATTCTGAAACTTGTGAGCATCTTTTGGTAATTCTGAGAAAATGTTAAGGGAGAGAGATAAAGAGAAGTATGAGCTGATACTAGGAAGAGGCTGAGGGAGAGAAATAAGAAGAAAGAGAAAGTAAAGGTGGCCATTGAAGAGGAGAGCTGAAAGTTTTGGAGCTCAAAATTAAATCTGCTGCTTTATTAGCAGTTACTAGGATGTTTTCATAAATAAATATAGGAAAGTGTTTGGAGTTTAGGGGTTGTAGGAATATCAATGTTATCGAGCAGGATGATTCTTTTTCTTGGAAGCGTGAGCTTATGTGTAGGAGTAATTCAAACATAAGCTTTTTTGTTTCTTTTCGTTATTTCTCGGTACAAGAAAGCACGTGTTCAACCAGTATTTCAAGTTTATGAATTTAGGAGTCTAATTTTTTTAAATTATTAGATTTTAAATTAATAATTTATATATATTTAATAAATTTTTTAAGATAAACACATGATTTGAATCAAAGTTACTGAGTTCACCCGAATCAACTCCGTCTCGCAAAGAAGTGACCTTTGAATAAATTACTCTTATAAGAAAAGTTCGTAGTTCTCGATCGGAGAAAATGACAAAAATGGTCCCTTAACTTTATAGGTAGGTTTATGATGGTCCCTTAAATATACATTTATCAGTTTTAATCCTTTAAGTATTCAAAAATTAAACAATTTTAGTCTCCATGCATTTTTTAAATTTAGAAGTCAATAAGACTTCATCTTCCTCCAGTCTTTGCCATATCTCTCGACCGCGTCATCTTCCTCAAGTTTGGAGAAATGAATACAAGGCAAAGACTCATAAGCTCTAGTGAAAATTAGGCAACAACGGAATGGCTATTTTTGCCTTCTGATTTTACAATACAGCTGATCTAGTACATGAAGGGTTTTAGAGACTGAAAAGAGGGAATTTTTCTCTCTTCTTAGTTGAAGGTAGATCATTTTTGGCCGAACTCCCTTGCCGGATAACGAAACGCCGGCAGTACCTAGGCAATTACCGGATTCTTGTTTGGTCTGCTTTGTAAGCGCTAGTTGGGTTTCAATATGGCTGGGCTTTGTGGTATTTATCTTTGCAAAGTTAACTGCATGATATTTAAAAGTTAAAACTAGACTAGAAGTGCTGCTGCCTCATGGTAACAGTTTATGTCAGGATTTTTGTTGAATGTTGTGCAGTTTGGTGGAACTTTGTGCAGTTTCATTAGGGGTGTCAAGTGGGCCGGGCCCGGTCCTAAGTGGGCCGGTCCTATGCGGTCCGGTCCTAAATGGTTCTGGACTTCGCGGGCTTATTGCTGGAACCATCTCGGGACCGGAACCACGAACTAACGGGCCCGGGTTAAGTGGGCCGGTCCCGGGTCCAAACGGGCCTAAACGGGCCCAACAGAAACTTTCTATTTTTAATTTTTTTTTTTTTTTTATAGAAGTTAGAGAAAAAAATAGTAATAAAGATATATAAGCTATATTCGATTTATATACTATATATACATCTTAAAATATATATATACTATATTATATATACATAGTATACATCTTAAAATATACTATATATACATCTTAAGATATACTATATATATATATATATAGTATAGTATAGTAGATCTTAAGATATATATACATCTTAAGATATATAAGCTCTCT